TGATACTGGTAGCAATTGCCAATGATTTGTATGAGTGTTACCCGTCACAGGAGTTGAAGACTCCTCAGAGCAAAGCGAGCCCCAGAGTAGTATGACAGGTGCGTGTGAGATGGCTCTGACTGCATTAACCCTTGCTTCGCTGCTCCTCGTCTCAAGTCCCTCCTGGATCTAAATGAAGCAAGTATGACAGAAGCCATGTTATCCTTCGGGAAGCTTTCGACATGGCTTGCTTGGATGCTTTGCATCTATACCAACGTCCCTTGGCTGCAAGCTCAAGAGTTTTGGAGTGCTTCTGTTCGGCTTCTAGTCCGACATGTGTGACCTGTGAAAAGCCGGAATTCACAGGTCGGATCTTTCAAGCTTTCGAGCATCCCTCTCAATGTGACTGGCCTCGACGCTGGCAATATGTCGGAAGTGGACGAGACCATCAGCAAACTTATTGCTCAGGGCGTGGTCGGTGAAATGCAGGACTGCCTTTTCCTCTTCGGGCCCTGACGCCTTGCAGCCCTGCACAACCCGCCCAATCTTAATGCTTCAACTTGAGGACGTCCACGGCATGCCCGATCCGAAGGAGAATGGCGACAAGGGTGGGGGCATGGGCGAGCTGGGCAAGAGCTTGGAGTTCTTGATGCTCAAGGTCGCGCAGCTTGAGACCCTCGCGGAGTTGCAACAGGTAGAGCTCGGAATGCAGCGTGTTCTGATCGAGAAGATGCAAAAGAAAATGAACTTTGATGACGCGGAAGTCTCACTGGTGCAAAAGAGCTCCGAGGAGAGTGTGCAAGAAGCCCATGACATCTTGAAACGGGTGGTCCAGAAGCACATGCACCAGAGGGAGCACAGGGAGTACCATTTGGAGGCACAGCCGCAGCCGAAGCATGCAGTGCACGAAGAGGAGAAGGCCGAGGAGGTCGAGATCGACAGTCGGAGAGCCCTGCTGCAAAAGCGCCGCATCGAGTGGGGTCCGATAGGAAAAGTTGTCAAGAGCGGTGTCAAGTACGTCGAAAAGGGAGCCAAGTATGCCCACAAGGGTGTCAGCGAAGCCGTGAAAGCCGTGGACGGCACCGGACTCACGGGGGGCGCCTTGACCGAAGCTTACAATGCCGCCGCGAAGGCGGGGAATGCCGCCAAGTTTTTGGCGAACACCGCAATTTCCTCCGTGGAGATGGCCGCAAATCTCATCACAGCGTCAGGCATAGGGCTTAGGGCACAGCGTGTCGTGGCTCGAGGTTTTTTAGGATGCTTCGAGGGTGGCTGCTTCTGATCCGCGAGAGACTTAGGCTCCTGGGGCGCGAGTTGCAGCAACGCTGCTCCCAGCCTTGGTAGGCACGGCACCCGGTTCGACATCAATTTCGGGCACCAAAGATGCAGCATCAATCTCTTGAACAATCACCTCACTCTTTTCGACTTCAACTGGGGCAGGAAGTCAATCGACATGTATCACTTTCTACCTGAGCCAGTAAAGCTGGTTGCAAGCACTGCGTACGAGGCTATTCGGACAGTGTTCAGTGTTGGGTGGGAGCTAATGCATTGTCCACACCGCGGGCACCACCATCAGTTGATTGCATGTCTTGGCGGTTGGATCCAGCACCTTGCTCCAGCAGTGAATTGGATGGCTGCCCCGTTAAAGTTGGTTGCAGGATCGGCATACGAGGCTGTTCGGACCGTCTTCAGNNCATTGTCCACACCGTGGCCACCACCATCAGTTGATCCAATGTCTTGGCGGTTGGATCCAGCACTTTGCCCCACCGCTGCATTGGATGCCCAACCCCGTAAAGACACTCGCAAATGGCAACATCATGGGGCTCTTGCCCGGACAGTTGAATCAAATTGCCAGTGGCGACATCATGGGGCTCTTGCCGGGACAGTTGAATCAAATTGCCAGTGGCGACATCATGGGGCTCTTGCCGGGGCAGTTGAACCAGATTGCCAGTGGCAACATCATGGGGCTCTTGCCGGGACAGTTGAATCAGATTGCC